ATTTGAAATGAATTATGTTTAACTTCGGAGAAATATCGTTCATGGAGCGTTTACCAGTTATAAAAGACAAATAAGAGAAAATGTGTAGAATTGAAGAAGTGCAGGGTGAGGAAAAGGATAAGTGCAAGAGGGGAGCATATGCTGCTAGAATAGGATCTTAAAAGGAAAAGCAATACTTCAGTTTACCCATAAATTGCACGAACATCTCTGTCTCTGTTGATCTTAGAAACACGCCTAACTTAATTTATTAAATGATCGTACCTGCCTCTGTGGATTTTTTTCATGTTTGACTGAAAACTTTTGAACATTGGAATGCCGGTGCATTTATTTTTTGATTGGAAACCTGATTATACTTTTTCTTTCTTTTTCTTTTTTCAGACACATGGCCTCTCTGAGTACATAGCCCAGGTGAGGTTATAGTTCAAACTCTCTTTCATTACAAATTTATGCATTCATGTAATGTTTTATGAAACAACCACTTCTTTTCCTCAATAAAATAAACTTAATAAATTTTCTAGCTGGAGAATACTTAAGTTTACTGGTTGTAGGAGGAGATGGAACGTAAAAACGGCTACTGGTGGTCTCTAGACAGCAAATTTATTGCATTTACAGAGGTGAATTATTCTGAGATACCTCCTTTTAGGATCATGCACCAAGGGAAAAGTTTTGTTGGTTCAGAGGCACAGGAAGATCATTCTTACCCTTTTGTGGGTGGTCCAAATGTTAAAGTTCGATTGGGTGTTGTTTCAGCTACAGGAGGTCCGGTGACTTGGATGGATCTTCTGTGTGGAGAAAGAGGCCAGGCAAACAATGAGGAATACTTGGCAAGAGTCTGTTGGATGCATGGGAATATTCTTACTGCTCAGGTTTTGAACAGGTCACATTCTAAACTAGAGATCCTAAAGTTTGATATCAAATCAGGCCAGAGAAAAGTAATCTTGGAAGAAGAACAAGAAACTTGGATAAATCTACATGATTGCTTCACCCCTTTAGACAAAGTGAATACTAGATCTCCTGGAGGGTTTATTTGGTCTAGTGAGAAAACAGGATTCAGACATCTATATTTACACAACTCAAATGGACAGTGCTTGGGTCCTATAACTCAAGGTGACTGGATGGTTGAGCAAGTTGTGGGTGTCAACGAGGCTGCTGGCTTTGTTTATTTCACTGGAACTTTAGACGGCCCTTTGGAATGTCATCTTTATCGTGCCAATTTATACTCAGATGCAGGTAATCTCTTGCAGGTTCCCTTTAGATTGACCCATGGAAAGGGAAAACATGTGGTTGTACTTGACCATCAGATGCAGAGATTTGTGGATATTTATGATTCCTTGGGTTCACCGCCCAAAGTTACTATGCACTCATTGTCTGATGGAAGCTTGATTATGCCTCTTTTTGAGCAGCCGCTCAGCATTCCAAGATTTAAGAAGCTCCAACTTCAGCCACCAGATGTCATTCAAGTAGAGGCAAAGGACGGGACCATTCTTTATGGGGCACTATACAAACCTGATCTGGCAAGATTTGGACCTCCACCTTATAAAACAATGATTCAAGTGTATGGTGGTCCCAGCGTACAACTTGTCTGTGATTCTTGGATAAACACTGTTGACATGAGAGCTCAATACTTGAGAAGTAAAGGCATATTAGTATGGAAGGTTAGTTTTGTTGATAAAATCCTAGTCAAACGAACAGAAAAACACTTTTTTTTCAATACTTTTCACGTGAAAAATTATAATAATCAAACACAATAATTTACAATTCCCAAGAAAATATTTTCTAGACAATTCAATTCCTTGAAATTCTTTTTTTTTTGTTCCACCCAAATATCATTTTTGCAATTGAAAGAATCAAATTTGTAAGGAAAGAAAATAAATTTTAGGTAATTCAATTGTCTAAAACTTATTTACATGGAAATTATTAATTAAATGCATTTGATTGATTTAATTTTTAATTTGAAAAATATCATACTTGTTCGATTTTTATTGTTAGGTAGATGAGAGATTATGAATAGATGAGGAAGAGTGAATTTCCTGGAAAATAGAATCCTACCCCCTATAAAGAAAATATTTATCTTGATTTTGAGAAAAATATAGTCATATAATTAAAAGTAGAAAAATATTCAAACAGCACAAAAGTAGTATTTTGGATAAAAATATATTTTTCATGAAAAAATAATGACAATAAAATGCTGTAATTTTTTTACATTCTTATTTCTATAAATTTAAAGCACTCCACTGATCATTTAGTAGACATTGACATGTAATCCACGCTTCGCTCCCAGCGTTTGGTGGTCACTGGACTTTCTTCTTCTTATCCACTTATCCATTGGGATAATTGCACTTTTGACCCCAACTATTATTGAATGTCAATTTAGGATCTCATTTTAATTTTTTCATACATAGGTCCTCAACTTTAAATTTTGTGACGGGTTAGACCTTTTTTTATAGTGGTCATAAATAAGTGCCATTAAAAATTTCAATTTCTTTGTTTTAAAGTAGTTTTTAGGAGCATTGGAAACCAAATAAAATGAAATATAGAAATAGCTAACAAATAAGCAGGGGTGAGCATTTATTGAGATTGATTTCAAAATCTACATGAAAATTAAATGGTTTGGATTCTTGAAATGCCTAGAGAAACCACCCGAGGCTCATCAGGGGAGGTCATTTTTAATCGAACTACTTGTTTCTAATCGGTTCCAAAAATTACATGGAACCGAATGGTTCAATTTGCAATATACCAAAAGTTTGATGAGTAGTCCTGGTTCTTGAAATAACCAGATTGTGAGATTGAACACCATACATCCACTCCTAAAATAAGAGATAAAATAATATAAAAAATGTTAAATGAGAAAAAAAAATCCTTCCCATCGTCTTCTCTTCTTTTTGCAAAAAAAATAATGTCATTACAACCTTTTAGTTTTCTTCATATGACGTTTCATCTCGCTACTCCTTGAGTTACATCCTGCATCTAAGTCCTTCTAGGTTCATCTTCTCTTTCCAGTCATGACCACCATAATGTACTCCAACCTCAATCCAATTCACATGCATGTTTAGTCATTCTAAAACTTGGAGCAAACAAGTAGACTAACAAATCATGGTCTTTTTAGGCAATTTGGACGTTGACAAGCCTTTGTTCGTGATGAAACTGTATACCATCTTTTCACTTTAAAAATACATCTTTATCGTAGGACTGATCCTCAGACTTTTGGGATCTTATGCCAACTTCAAATATGGGATCTATAAATATTTTAAAAATATATATAATAGTAATAAATAATATTTTTTATTGAATAAAAATATTCAAAATTATAAAAATAATAATATAAAACTTTCAAATATCCAAATTTTCATAATAGAAAATCAACAATTATACCATTACAATTGAACTATTTTAGAACCTTTTTAAAATAGACAACATGACCAATCCATTCAACATTTCTTATGACATCGTTAACCAAATCTAGAATTTTATCAACTTCACTTCTAGAAGCTATTCTTGACAAATGCAATTGTAAAGAATATAGTCAATAATATTCTATAAACAATTCACACATTTAAAAAATAACAGTCCATAATTTTAATATATCAAGCACTTCATTCGTCTTTTTGATAGCTTCTAACAAACAATTTCTTAAGTTTACTGCTCAAAAAATAACTCTCGTCTATAATATCAGAATTTCTATTCTACTTCCAAAATTCTTCAGACTTGTCACATTTTTCAGTCTTTAATCTTTTTAGAGTCAAATAAAAATTCAAACATATTTTCATACTTTTTGAAATTGTTCGAACCTTGAGTGAAGAAAGAGCTTGATCAACATATATAAGAAATCACAAACTCTAAAATTCTTCAAGTGAATGTGTTATCTCATCATTGAAATTTTCATCGAAGTGCTTCTTTATATGAATTTATCGGATGCAAATTCAGTTTCTCGATATATTTCAAAAAATAAAATAATTCATTTCAACAACACCAATAGACGTATCCCCACTTTACAAATTTTCACTTACTCTATTAATAATTAATATATATTGTACCATATAATCATGTCAAACAAAAACTCAAAATTTATAATTTCAAAAAAGATAAAACTTTAATATCTCTAAATGACTTAAGATCATTGCATCTTCCTACCAAGTGTTCTACATAATTAAGCTTTAAATACTTGTACAAATAAAGATTGAAATGTTTATATTTTAATTAAAAATTAGTATATTTGTTAATTGGATAGTTGATTGCATTTAGACTTTATTTTGTTTGTAATTTTTATGAACTATATGTAACTTTTTAGAGCTTCATAAAAGTGAGGTCTTAGCGCGATTGTCTACTAAGCCTATTGTTAGGGTCACCATTGCATTGTCTTCAAGTTCCCTTTTATAACAAATAGAACTAACCTTATTGTCCTAATATTCATGCTACCTTCTTTAGAGACCGTGAACACTCCATATGAACATAATTTGATGTGTTTTCACCGTTATGATAATAGTAGGTGTTCTATATTACCTAATGTTTTACCATCTTTCTTTTTGATAATCGCAATGGCCATGTTGTGTTTAGTCTGTGATGTTCGAGCAATTTGTTCAACTTGTAAGCACGCACGTCTTGTATCCATAATCAAGTCTCACGCGTATATTGGTTTTATAGTCTAATTTATTTGACTTTTGCTTGACTTGTGAAAGCTCTAATTGTTAACTGACTCATTCCTTTATCATATTCGTTATATTGGACTTGAAAGTTATAACTTATTCAACATTTCACCCTTAGCCGATGGGCTCAGTGATGTCCACTCTTCATGGAGCAACAACAATAATTACATATCAATAATTGATTCATAATGAGAAATTTAAGCTAAATATGATCAAAACATTGACTAAATTCCTGGGTTTAAAATTAATGAAGCCCAACCAGCCCATCCAGCACTTGCTTAATCTGGTTGGTGTGGTGCCCACTTATCTGAATCAGACTTTAACCCCACGCGCTCACTTTCTACAACACAAGTTCTTTTTCTCACTTTCACTCCGCTAAGGAAAAAAGCCTCTCTTTTTTCCACTTTTTATTCACTTTTATGCTCAAATATTTCGTTATACTCCAAATTCTGGAATCGATTCTTTGATAATCTGATTCAAATTTTCAATTTTCCTGAAACTTTGAGAAAATTTCAATTGGAAAGGAATTGTATCCGAATCTTGATCTTCTGCATTGGTTTTTCGTTTACCAATTACAGGTCCGATTCCGATCCTAATTTACTTTATTATCACGACCGTTATTCCATAGTTAATTAATTAATGAGTATTTATTAAATCAAGTTCGCGTTTATTTTCAATTTCCAAGGGATTTCTTACTGAATAATTCTTGAATCCTTTTTCACTTTCTTGGCTGCTACTGTTTATTTTCTGCAGAAATAAAAAGAGAAAGTTTGTTTCTTTTACGCCTTTTCTATTGCGGAAAGTAGGAATAGAAAGGAAAAAAGAAGCTCAAGAAAGTAGCTTCACTTCAATCAAAATTGTAAAACTGAGCATGATTAAGTCGAAATGAACTTTCTTATCTCTTGCACTTTTTAATTCTGACGGTTCACCGCTTCAACATTTTTTTTCTGTGGCCCATTATTTGATTAATAGAGTGCTTAATTTAATAATGCCTATTTTTTGTTTTGCATTTAGAATTTATCAAATTTCTTCTTATTGCACGAATTCAATTTTAACTTTTATTGGAAAAACAAATTTATTGAGGGGAGCAATTCAATAGTAAATTTTTTTCCTTAATTTTTAGTTGGTTTAAAATTTTATAATTTGCTCGATTGATTTGTTATTTCCTGTCCTTTCAGGGTGTCGGGTATGCTTGCACTGATGCACAAACTATTAAATTTTTAGTCAATAAATTGGTAATGCAATCCCCTAATACAAGTAATAAGAAGAAGAATTTGAAACGTTCGAGATCACTTCGCCACGATATGCCTGCAGCTGACACAACTCCTGCAAATGCTCTAGACAATTGCACTGTATTCCCTGTTGAAGAGATAGTGCAACACCCTTTACCTGGTTATGGAGTGCCAACTTTAATTAGCTTTAGCCTTGATGGTAGTTTGATAGCATACTTGTTCAGTCCTGATCAGACATTGAATAGGAAGGTGTTTGTGTTTGATCCGATTAGCATGAAGCATGAATTGTTTTTTAGTCCTCCAAATGGTGGGCTTGATGAGAATAATTTGTCTGCTGAAGAAAAGTTGAGGAGGGAGAGATCAAGGGAGCGGGGGCTTGGTGTGACACGCTACGAATGGGTGAAGACAAGCCCAAGGAAAAAGAGAATTATGGTGCCTCTACCAGCAGGAGTGCGTTCCTTAACATCTTACATTATTTGACAATTTCAAAAATATAATATACTTGTGTACTTGCTCAAATTAATTGCACGTGTTATACATGTAAACAAACTTATTATTGGATAAATATCTTGAATGGTGTTTTTGTTATATTGCCGAATGGTCACATGTCACCTTGAGAGAGTTGGTGATGATATTGGTAAATTGGAGCAAGATTAATTGCATACTGATTGAGTTTGTGTTTTGGGCATAATTTGGATACGGTTTTGATTATGTTATTAAAAGAACTAATCTTGCCAACGTTATTGTAATTGCCTGGAAATATATTCATACTAGCTTTTCTTTTAATATATTTTTTAACTTCTTTGTAATATTTTAGGGTCAGTGAATAATTTCTCATGCATTGATAATCTTTTCCTGGGAAATTTCCTGTAGAAACTAAGTCCCAATGATTATGCTTGTAGGGAGAAATGCTCAACCAATTCGTGTAAAATTCAATTGATTCTTGTGACCATTTGCTCTCCAAAGAGCCATGACTAGGCGTTACACCATGAGAAGCCTTGTAATATTCATTCATGGGTATACATTCACTTGATCCCTAATTTTGTGGATGTGTTGAAGCATCAATTAAAAACTCTACATGGAAGTGAATAGTCCCAATTTAAAGACCTCTACCTTTTGTGGTGCAAACCTTGAACACTTATCTTATGGTTGAGCATCAGCTAGTTTTTTTGCTGTAAACTAGAGAAAAGATTCTCTCAGCATTTTTAACAGAAATCAATGTACCATAATTCTTTATTTTAAGTTTTTTGTTTGCTTGAACATCTTTATATGTTTTGTATATCAATTATGTCGCTTGATAAAATACACCTAATATGTTTTATTTGTTCTCATATAACATATTGCTGGTTTCGCATGTGGGCAGATTTATGTTCAGGATCTCTTCATAGAGTCAGATCTTAAGCTCCCAAGTGCCTCATGCTCACCAATTATTGATCCACATGTCTCCCCAGATGGCACCATGCTTTCTTATGTGAGAGATAATGAGCTGCACGTGTTAAACCTTATGTACAACGTGTCAAAGCAGTTGACATCTGGTGCCAATAGAAACGTGATAGTAAGCATTAGGTTCCATTTCTTTACTGGCTTCAATTTTCCATACCGTTCATTGTGTGTTAGATAAGCTACTGTTGTGTAATTTGCATATTGTAATTCATTTATTGCGTTTTATATTTTCTTTTCCAATAGATCTGTTCTATAATCTCTACTTAATGTTCAAATATTTTCATGTCAGTCCACTCAGAAGCACAAAAAATAAAAAATTTAAAAAAAATATGTCATCTTTTGATTTGATATATAGTCTCAAATGCTGGTCTATTTCATGTTTGAAAAATTATGAAGATTTATAGTGTAGGCTACTTATTTGCTATAACGGAATCTGCATGTTGGCCTTCTTCTTTCAATAAAAGCGCAGAGATACATTTCTTTTCATCTTTGCGACTTTAAATGGAACACAGGTCTCTGGATGAACTTTACAACTCTGAACACATCCGATTCTCAAAGAGAGATGATTTGATTTATATAATTCCAGATTTCCCATTTCTTCACGTGATTTTGTTTAATATCATAAAGAAAACATATAAAATTTTTATGTTTCAACTTTGAATCGACTGATACTACCTCTGAATTTGGAAAACGAACCCTGATCTGGGATTTGAAATGAATTATGTTTAACTTCGGAGAAATATCGTTCATGGAGCGTTTACCAGTTATAAAAGACAAATAAGAGAAAATGTGTAGAATTGAAGAAGTGCAGGGTGAGGAAAAGGATAAGTGCAAGAGGGGAGCATATGCTGCTAGAATAGGATCTTAAAAGGAAAAGCAATACTTCAGTTTACCCATAAATTGCACGAACATCTCTGTCTCTGTTGATCTTAGAAACACGCCTAACTTAATTTATTAAATGATCGTACCTGCCTCTGTGGATTTTTTTCATGTTTGACTGAAAACTTTTGAACATTGGAATGCCGGTGCATTTATTTTTTGATTGGAAACCTGATTATACTTTTTCTTTCTTTTTCTTTTTTCAGACACATGGCCTCTCTGAGTACATAGCCCAGGTGAGGTTATAGTTCAAACTCTCTTTCATTACAAATTTATGCATTCATGTAATGTTTTATGAAACAACCACTTCTTTTCCTCAATAAAATAAACTTAATAAATTTTCTAGCTGGAGAATACTTAAGTTTACTGGTTGTAGGAGGAGATGGAACGTAAAAACGGCTACTGGTGGTCTCTAGACAGCAAATTTATTGCATTTACAGAGGTGAATTATTCTGAGATACCTCCTTTTAGGATCATGCACCAAGGGAAAAGTTTTGTTGGTTCAGAGGCACAGGAAGATCATTCTTACCCTTTTGTGGGTGGTCCAAATGTTAAAGTTCGATTGGGTGTTGTTTCAGCTACAGGAGGTCCGGTGACTTGGATGGATCTTCTGTGTGGAGAAAGAGGCCAGGCAAACAATGAGGAATACTTGGCAAGAGTCTGTTGGATGCATGGGAATATTCTTACTGCTCAGGTTTTGAACAGGTCACATTCTAAACTAGAGATCCTAAAGTTTGATATCAAATCAGGCCAGAGAAAAGTAATCTTGGAAGAAGAACAAGAAACTTGGATAAATCTACATGATTGCTTCACCCCTTTAGACAAAGTGAATACTAGATCTCCTGGAGGGTTTATTTGGTCTAGTGAGAAAACAGGATTCAGACATCTATATTTACACAACTCAAATGGACAGTGCTTGGGTCCTATAACTCAAGGTGACTGGATGGTTGAGCAAGTTGTGGGTGTCAACGAGGCTGCTGGCTTTGTTTATTTCACTGGAACTTTAGACGGCCCTTTGGAATGTCATCTTTATCGTGCCAATTTATACTCAGATGCAGGTAATCTCTTGCAGGTTCCCTTTAGATTGACCCATGGAAAGGGAAAACATGTGGTTGTACTTGACCATCAGATGCAGAGATTTGTGGATATTTATGATTCCTTGGGTTCACCTCCCAAAGTTACTATGCACTCATTGTCTGATGGAAGCTTGATTATGCCTCTTTTTGAGCAGCCGCTCAGCATTCCAAGATTTAAGAAGCTCCAACTTCAGCCACCAGATGTCATTCAAGTAGAGGCAAAGGACGGGACCATTCTTTATGGGGCACTATACAAACCTGATCTGGCAAGATTTGGACCTCCACCTTATAAAACAATGATTCAAGTGTATGGTGGTCCCAGCGTACAACTTGTCTGTGATTCTTGGATAAACACTGTTGACATGAGAGCTCAATACTTGAGAAGTAAAGGCATATTAGTATGGAAGGTTAGTTTTGTTGATAAAATCCTAGTAGAATCTACTTTTTGCTTAAATTATTGTCGTGTTATGCTTTTCCTTCTCTGACTATGATGGTGGACAAGTTCCCAGGCATGCCTCTTTGCAAGTTGGAGGCTTGAACACTTGACGTTTGTTGATCATGCTTGGTGGCACCAGTAGGGATGTCTGTGCAGCCCCTCAGTTCCATCTGTGATATTTCGAGGGCTCTTAGAAAATAAGTTGCAGTCCTGACAACTTAAACTTGTGTAGCATGGAAGAAAGAAAATGAAAGAAAGAAAATGAAGCTAACATTTTTAATATATTGTCCACTTTTGTATAATTCTCGATACTTAACATGTGCTTGCGAAATGTGGGGCGGGCTATTCTAACCTTTTTCTCGAAGTTATGTTATTTACTATTTCATTGATGTGCATTTAAAGGAATTATGGTGAAGTAGAAAAAGGACTCACTTCTTTCTTGCTCCTATGCCATCTACAGATGGATAACAGAGGAACTGCTCGACGTGGACTCAAGTTTGAAGGTGCACTTAAGTACAACTGCGGCCAGATTGATGCTGAGGATCAAGTAACTGGAGCCGAGTGGCTCATTAAACAGGGTTTAGCTAAAGAAGGCCACATTGGATTGTATGGATGGAGCTATGGTGGATATCTCTCAGCTATGACCCTGGCAAAGTTTCCCGAGATTTTCAAATGTGCGGTTTCAGGTGCTCCAGTCACATCATGGGATGGGTATGACACCTTCTACACTGAAAAATATATGGGTATGCCAACTGAAAATCAATCAGGTTATTTGCAAAGTTCTGTGATGCATCACGTGGACAATATGAAAGGGAAGTTGTTGCTTGTACACGGAATGATCGATGAAAATGTGCACTTTAGGCACACTGCTCGGCTCGTGAATGCCCTTGTGGCAGCTGGGAAGCCTTACGAATTGTTGATTTTCCCGGATGAGCGACACATGCCTCGACGACTTCGGGACCGAATGTACATGGAGGAGAGGATTTGGGAATTTATTGAGAGGAGTTTGTAGATTACACTTTTATGCATTTCTGTTGTTTGTCAAGTTATAGGAGATGTTTGGACCGCGGAATTTTTTGATTATCAATTTTTAACT